TCAAGTACATAAATATTTTAAAAGTTACTTGACATCTACGACTCGTGTACGGGGCGTATACGGGGAAAGAGTTTTACAATCTTTAATTATTTTAACAGTAATTACAGATGAAGTAATAAAGATTTTAAATATAAATCTGATTAAATTTGGATTCACTCTTTAGAAGTGGGTTTAATTTTTATTAGTTTATTTATGGTTTATAATAAGAGAGAGACCTAATTTTGTGGAAAATCTTAGGTGGTTAAATGTACATTTGGCATTGACTTGTTATGAACGTAAAAGGCTGGGCTTTGGACCTTTCTTTTTGGACAATTGAGATTTTGAAGACGATAGAACTTCTCCGAGGAAGGAAGAGAAAAATATAACAAGTGGGATCATTGTATATCTCTGAAAAATGCCAATTCCAATTCCTTATTCTTAATGTTTAGTCGGGTTGTATTATCTAATCCATCAACGTTTAGTTAGAAAAAAAATAGCTCAATATTCGAATCCTCCTGCACTTTTTAGTAGGTCTGTACTATTTAATATTTAGTTGGATTGTGACCATATCCAACACCCGGAGGAATATTATCAACTAGTGGAGTCTGATATGGCAGCGATGGCGGCTGAGCTTATTTATTATTTTATTTTTTTTGGGAAACCAGAGGGAAACTTTATTGAGATTGATATCTCGTAAAATTTGTGAATAATGATCCAAACAAAAAGGGAACACTTTCTAGATCATTTGAGATTCTATTCCAATTAATATAGTGTCATTCTGATTAATTGGTTCTGATCCTAAGAACTTGCATAGAAAGTATAGTGATGTTCCACTTCACAAACCCTAGGCCAAGAGAATAGATTAATCATACAATCACTTGTAACCCTTTTCTCCAATCTCCGGTCGCCGACTTCTGTATACACACGTATTTATAACATTGTCAGGAAACATCAATGTAATTTACCTGCTCCTTATCAAATACCCTTTCTTGTCTATAAAAATAAACTCAACGCCAACGCTTCCTCATTTCCATCCCGCTTCTTCTCCCATTTCCTTCCTCTTTATACGTAAGCTATTGCTTCCCCCCCCCCGGGTAAATGCTAGGACTCTGCTCGATCCCTGTTTAATTAAATTTGTTTATTTTTGTATCACAATTCGAAGAATAAGTGTATATCTAAATCTCTCGTCTTTCATAAATCCCATGTTTTCTTCTCTTGTTTCATTTCATTGAATTTCGATTGGAGCTTTAGCTGTTAAATTTATCATTTTGTGTGCGTGTGTTCCATCTTCTTACTCTGTTTCACTTGCAGAATCGTGTGTTTGGATGTCGATGAAGAACAAGAAGAAGGTGACCCGGTTTCCGCCGAGGAGAGGGCAAGTGAAGGCCCAGATTTTTGAGAGCATTGTGAAGAGTGTTGCTTCTGTAGCATCCAAGGGCAAGGCTAAAGAAGCGATGGCCAAAAACGAAGCTGAAGATAACGATGGAAAGAGTAGCTCCTCTGGAACATCCACTCCGCCTCAAAGTGGGTATGCTTCTCAAGGAAATGGCCACGTGTCTTAGAAAACAACCATCTCATGCCTCAAATCAAGCACCGTCAAATTCTCTGCTGCTTGTCTAAAATCGAGGCGAATACAAAAAAAGAGCAGTATCCAGAAAATCCCAAAAATAAACAAGGCTTCGTCTGAAATCCTAGTAGCTAGGCTTTTGAAAACCTGCCATTTTAGACGCAGGTATCAAGGGTAACCCTACTTTAACTCGTGTTTTTTGTCAATTAAGGTAGGGTTCATAGTATATGAACCCCTTGGTGTGTTCCCCCCCCCCCCTCTCCTTTTGTATTTTGTGTTTTTAAGCTCTCTCACGATTCTTTCCTCTAGTTTTTTGAGGGGGAATGATGTTTACGGGGAGGCTTTAGTTGTTTCTGGGTTTGATTTGTCTTAATGTCTGTACGTTCAGCTGTCTCGTTGTGTAGCTGATGTACCATGAATCTTTTTCTATTTTAATGAAGAATATTTGGATTTTCTGTAAATCTTGAGTTCTGGATTCCATCCTTAGTTTGGTTCTTTTTAGAGTGGAGCATGAATGTTTGAAAAGTTCTTTAAGGTTGGCAGCTTTCGTTTCTTTTACGTAAATTATTATTGTCAACTAAATAAATAAATTCTCTTCTAACTTATCTTTTTATGCAGTGGGATTTGGAGTCATTGTCTTGTTCTTATTTGGTAATATCCATTGCCAGATGAAAAGAGAAAAATTAACTCAATTCTAACCCAAATCATGCGAGTCAACTCATCTAAGCTTCTCAACATAAAGTCGGATTTCATTATTTCTTCGTAATCTAAGGTAATATCGGTATTTGGAAAGTGAGCCAATCTAGTTATCAAAGCATCCTCATTTATGGTATTTTTGTTTTTTTATTTAAAAAAGGCAAAAAGATACAAACTCCATCAAAAGCCTGCTTGTTAAGGAAATCATTAGTAGGGGATAGCTTACCCTAAACCCTACTAACTATAACTACTTCTTCATTTAAGCAAGATCCACCCAAATATGTACAAATTAATTTCATTCCATGGCTTCCTCAATGCACTGAACAAATGTGTGTGATAGAATATGATGATGATGAAAAAAAAAGTTATTGCAGTGCAGGACCTTGGTTTTCTAAATTATGGTGACAGCCGATGAATGCTAAATAAATTGGTAGCCCCCCCCCCCACCCAACCCAGGGATGGATTTAGGGAGAGCGACCGGGCGGTCGTTCTTCTAAAACTTTAAAATTATTATATATTTTTTAAAAAAATTATATATTTTGTATTAAAAATTTGTTTTCATCATTTTAAAATTTTATAAGTTTAAATTTAACCCTTTAAAATTTTATAAATTCAAATTCACCCCTATCTTAAAATTATACGTCCGTCTCTACTCACCCGTCCCCTGTTTGTTGTTATGGTGTCGTGTGTAAACACAACAAAAACTGAAGATAATGTTTCTTTAGTATAAAAGATGCCAAGGGATTGCTTCCATTCCACCATATATACATTTATATATTGCTGTCAGCCAAACTTATTATTTTATATATAAATTCAAAGCTGAAGATGCACTTTTTCTTCATTAGTTTGTGGAAAAGCACAGCAAAAATAATCGTTTTATTTTTAGAAAAAAAATGCACTTTAGGGGTCAAAAGATATATATAACAGGAAAATTACCCTTTCATCCCATTCCCCATTGGTAAGTGCTAACAACCTGGCAACAAATAAGTCCAAAAATTCAAATTAACACTTGGAACTTGGAAGGTCCAACTTTTTTTTCTATTTAAGTACGATATTTAATTAATTGATTAATTAATTCATTCAAATTAAATATTATAATAATTTGTGATTCTTCAAATTCAGTCTTTTTTATTCCCAACATTATAATTCAAATATTTAAGCTTGATTAAAAAAATTATAGTTTTTCTGTTAAACCAACTGATAATTGATAAAAAAATCTAAAAGCTTTAATATTAGACTATAATAAACCTAATATCAAATTACTTAACAAATATAATATTTACATCTTTTTGTTATTTTAGGCCGCTTGAGTGTGCGTATAAATAAAAACTTGGTATGAATCATACACCAAAAGTTAGAAACTTAGAATCCGAAATAGGGCGTACAAATTTACACCTCTTCTTTTCGTGAAAGAAGGTCAACACTCTGGACCAGTAGCTAGTTCTACTGGTAAACTGCTACAAACGCTAAAAAGATAAAACTGGTCGGCTCTTTATCTGGCAAATTCCAGGAGGGGAAAAGGAACAGATGTAAAAACAATACTTTTCAATTGTTCATGGTAGAGGCGGCTAAAGATAAATTTTACACTACAGCATATTATATACGATTAAAGAAAGATGTTATCGAAAATATTATTATTTTTTAATATTTTTTGTAAAAAATTACCTAAAATATTATTTTTTACCTAGAACATTAATGTTTTTTTAAGATTTCCGGCAAAGTACCTAATATTAATATTTTTGATAGAAAAAAATAATGTTTTAGGTAACGTTTTACCGAATATGTTAATAAATTCGATAAAACGTCTAATAATAACATTTTTAATAAAAAATAATAATATTTTAAATATTTTTTTTACCAAAAATGTTAAAAAAATATAACAGATAATGTATTTCTTTAATCAAATGAGACTTTCCCGCGGCTGAACTCTGATATGTGACCGCCAACATATGAAAGCCTAAAAGTCCCCAATCGCCTATATGACTTATATGCGAACAGAACAATCAGTCCATTTGTTTTTATTTTGGTTATGGGAAACTTTAATTTGGCGAGGAAACTTTGTGCCAGTTAATGGAATCGGAAGACCCAAGTCAGGTACCATGTTGATGCCTGCACGGTGTTTGATAAAATGCTTTGATGACAATTCTGCCACTGCCCATGACTACACGTATATCATTATTGGGCGTTGGCTCTTATTGCCATGAACTTTTGGAATCTAAGTCATCCCCTACTATTGGTCGAGCAATGGTAGGTAGCAGTGCTCGATGAGCAAACTACTTATTAATTTGTTCCGTACGAGCTGACCTTTTTTTTAAAAAAAAATTATTCTCATTCCAATTATTTGTTGACCCTGGTATCCCAAGATGCCAAAGTTAGGCAGGTCCACGGTCATGATCTGTGGCTGTGGTGCATGGGCGGCCTGCATAATTTAATATGCAGTTTTCAAAGAATTGAAAATGTGTTTTTATTAGTGTTATGGTAATAATCATTTCAAGGAAAATGAGTTTTTTAGTTGTTCATTTAAGACTATTGGTTTTCAATATTCAGGACGAGTCAGGGATCCCATAGCTAGTTTGCTCACAGTACAAAAAAGAAAAGAAAAAACAGAAATCTATCAACGACGAATTCATAAATATTTTTTAAAATATACGCGGGTTAACAACACAATTTTTAAATGTGTGAATACAAATAAAATTTCAGGATTAATACCAACAGTAAAATAAAAAACTAATTGAATAAAATTCGGAATTATGTTAACTCTCACCTATACGTGGATCCGCCACTCTACTTCACTTGTTTAATAGTTAGACTATACATTCTTCTTTTAAATTCGATATAAAATACACGTATCCTTTCTATGATAAAAAATTATTTTAACACAACTGACTGACTTTACCCTGATTTCTTTTATTGCATATGTTTGATGGCAAGTAAAGCCAGATAATGTGTTTCTCTGATAAATTCAAGGTGATTAGGTAACAGGGTCAAAGTCTTCACAGGAAAAATAATAATAATGGGGGAGTCAAAGAAGATTATTGAGATAAATCGGCCTTTTCAAAAGTTTCACGATACTTGTTAATGTAGACCTCCATTTATATTATTTATTTTTTGAAAATAGCTCCAATTATTTAGTAATTATTGACACGGGGAAAGGAGTCTTTCAATATAGGGTGTATATTTTTTTTATCGAATTTGTTAACTATAGAAGGTTAAAAATTGCAGATTTGTTTTTTAAAATAATGAATTTATTTTTAATATTTTTTTATTAATCTATGGTATTTACAAGTGATAGTATCTGTTCTATGAACTCTCATCTATTTAACAATAAAAGCTTAAATATCATGCAGTCTCGTAAGACATATAGAAATAACAATTATTTCTTTAACCACTGAAATAATTTGATTCATATATTTCTATTGAAAAATTAATTATATATAAAATGATAATTAATAAAATTAATATAATAATATATTTGGTTTTTCAAATTTATATTTTTTTAATAATTTAATCCTCAAAATTTACATTTTAATATAACTTTTCATTAAAAAGATAAGAATACGTATATATACACAAATTGTTCTTCCCAAATTTCAAATAAAACTCCTCCTCAGTTGGGATGGTTACCACTCAGGTTATCAATGCTAATGCCATTTATTGATTTTTAGTCCTTGATTTAAGTTTCGATCAAGAGTTCTTATCTCTTATCTTTTAGTTGGTCTGAGTCTAATTTCAAAATTCTTTTTATTTTAAATAGTGATAATTATCGCTCATATTATCAATTTCGTCGCTTAATAATTTTTCGTTGTTGATTTAGACATTGGATCAAGAGTTATTCTTTTTTTTCCCTTTCTTTCTAATTCTTGTTTTGATTATGTTCATTTGCTTATTGTTAATTGTTGTCATGGATATGAGATTGTTGGGGAAGAGTCGATCAGACTTCGTAGTTACAAATTCTAATTTCTTCAAATTAATAGAAGTTTCATCAATAAAAATTATTATTTTATTGTTAAAAGGAAATCAAAAATTCAAATAAGAAGAAAACTAAGGCAGATAAGAATTTTTTTTTATAAAATCAAATTTTCATCAGTCATTATAAAAAGGAAAAAAAAAACACGTTTTAAAACAATGGATAAGAATGAGAAATCAATAAACTTCAGCAAAAAACTTCATTCAAGTATGTTCTTCATTTAACTTAATTCAATTGTATGTTTTTCATTTAACTTTGGAACAGATTCGAAAGATAGATATTTCTGGAGGTGATGAGTTTCATAACCAAGATACGGCTAATTGGGACTATTCAAAAGATGGGACCTTTTCGGTTAATTATGCTTTCCAAGACATCATCAATAACACCGAAGAGGTGACCAATAATAGAAAATTCTTGTGGATATGAAAAGTAAACACCACGGAGTGTATAAGGTTTTTCATCTGGTTATGCTGCTTGAACAGATTGAACACAAACGAGATTCGAAAGCGGGAAAATATGACCAATGAGATGGTTTGTGAGGAATGCCAATATGTATCGGAATCCATAGAACACATCTTGCGTTACTGTAAAGTAGCAAAGACAGTGTGGGCAGAGATCGAACGTTGTTATAGTATGAAACCGAAGGTAGAAGATGATTTTGTCGACTGGATCAAACGAAATAGCTGCTCTAAAAAAAAACTCTGAAGGAACTAGATGAGATATCGTATTCACCATGACTTTATGGGGTAATCTTCAACGAAAAAACCAAGAAGCCAAACCATATTTTGCAATATGGAAGCAATCTTGTGAAGGATATAGAAAGAGCAAATAATACAAAAACAGAAGAATTTACTAGAGAGCCCATATGGGTCAAATGGATCAAACCTCTTGAGGGAACATATGTCTTAAATTCTATGAAGCTTGCATGAAATCAACAGGCATTGCAGCGATTGGAGGCCTTCTCCGAAATGATTAGGGAGATTGGATCTACGGGTAAACAATAAGCATCGGTAAAGCCAATAGTCTCTTGGCAGACATTTAGGAAATAAAACAAGGATTAATTGTTGCGGAAGATCTGGGTTTGAAATACCTTAAAGTTGAATTTGACGCCAAGGAAGCGATCGAAATCATTGCAGGAAAAGCGATGGAAGATAATGACTTGCAACAGAATATCATCGTGAGAGAGTGTAGGAATCTGATGCGAGATTTAGAGATTAGTGAGATAACCTTTGTTTGGAGAGAAGTTAACAAATGTCTGATTGCTTAGTGAAAATGGTGTTGAAGGAAGAAAGAGGCATGAGAATGTTAAAGGACCCGTCGCAATAAATGAGGCATCTGCTAGAAACTGATAAGAGTGGAGAGGAAATCCTAAATCTGATGCGAGATTTAGAGATTAGTGAGATAACCTTTGTTTGGAGAGAAGTTAACAAATGTCTGATTGCTTAGTGAAAATGGTGTTGAAGGAAGAAAGAGGCATGAGAATGTTAAAGGACCCGTCGCAATAAATGAGGCATCTGCTAGAAACTGATAAGAGTGGAGAGGAAATCCTAAAACAATAATATGAAAAACGACATCATTTTTCCATTCCTTTGTACCAAAAAAAAAAAAAAAGGTACGAACTATGGTTTAAGTACAATTATTGGTTTAATAGGTTTTTATCCTTTAAACCAAGCTATGGATAAACTACACTTTTGGTCCCTCACCTTATTACCTCCAATTAAAACCATCACTAATTCTATGCTCTTGGGCCAAACTTAGGTCCAATAGTCTAATCAACTTGCCTCTATTGCTCTGGGAGATCTAATGGGCTCAACTTATTGGTCTCAGGTTGACCCGAACTACTGATATGAGGGTATTACAATTAATATATGATTTTATTATATCTTAGTGTCAGCAAGTTCATATTCAACTCAGACGATCATCATTTTTTTAACGGGAAATGATGACTTGGGACATATGAATATTCGATTGATCATTTCGTAACTTTTAATGGATGAAGACAACAATATAATACCCTATAGTTGGGGGACCATTTTGAAACTTTTATTAGTTGGAGGTGTAGTACCCCAAATTTTGGCTAGTGACCAAAACATAAGTTTTGAAAGTTTAGTGGCCAAAGTATAAATTTGGAAAAAAATATAGGGGACCAAATTGTAATTTTAAAAGTTATATATTTTTATCGATAAATGAATAGGTTATCTTGGAATAATTGTTTTCGTGGGAATCAAAGTTTTGATTCAGTGTTTGTGTTAAAAGCTATAAAACAGAAAAGTTCGGTAAAAAAACAGATAATCAGATTAAACATGAATTCCACGAAAATGTTGAGGATGATGGATTAAGGTTGGAAATATTATTTCTATATTTTAGAACAGTGAGATTTAAGGTGGGTCAGTGGAATTGAAGTCAACTTACCATATTTAGCCGACATTGGGAAATTTGGTGACTAAAGTGAACTTTTCAAGAATTGCATGGCTAAAGTAGATAGTCAACTTCAAATTGGTTTATCTTTGACCATGAATATTTTAATGGAAGATATTATCAATGATATTTGGTCATTATCATAATTCATTAAGGGTGAAATTGGAATTTCTCATTAATTGAATTTAAAATTCAATTAAATTAAAAGGTACCAAGTGTTTTAATTGATTATCACCAAGGAAATTGGATGAAAAATCAGCCCCTTCTTGCTGCTGCTAATGTGAGCCTCCATAGCTAAATGAGTAAGATTTTCAAATTGACAATTAAGCTTATTTTTTTGGGTTAAGCAATTAGATAGAGAATTAATCCTCTTGAAATTCTCTATCATTTGGTATAAAAATTACATGGAAATCATGCTTAGAGGTTGAGATTCATGAATTGGGTGGTTGATGAACATGTTTGATTTTGAAGATTTGATGGAAGATTTTTATGTATGAATTTGATGTAAGAAGATTGAATTCATGCTTGAAATTAAATGGAAAATCTACCCTAACTACTTTATGATTTTCGGCCATAAAGGGAAAATTTGAGGAAAAATGTTGAAACTTTCCTATGATCTAAGATTGATATTAAATGTGTTCTATGTGATTTGGAGATTGATTTGGATTGATTTGGATTAATTTGGAACCTTGAGATAGAAAAAGGGTTATTTTGCAAGTTTTGAGAATTGGATATTGATGCATAAATGTGTAAATTAGAGTATTCAATGTTCAATTTTAATGATGGAATGCTGGAATTTTAAGTTGAACAAGTGATTTAGGATCAATGTGCAAATTTGGGTAAATTTGGTGATGGAATTCGAATAGTCTCAAAAGTGGGATTTCAATTGCGAGTTTTTAAAAGTGATGTATTATTTTGTTAAGAAAATTTGAATGTTGGAAAATTTATTAGCATGCTGATTTTTAAAGTTTAAATATTAGTTTGGGATCAAATTGCAAGTTTATTAAAGTAGATGGTTGAGTTTGAAAAGTCCAAGGAAATATAGGATGAGATTGCAAGTTTTTTAATGTTAAACTATTAAATTGAGTATATTATTAAGGTGTTGGAAATTTTAGTAATTTATGTGAAATGATCATAATGGTGAAGGATCATTATGAATTAGATGGAAATGTTGATATGAATTCTAAGAAGAATTCATAATTAGTAAATTGAATGCAAAGTTGGTAAAAGTTGAAGGAGATTGATGATGAAAATAAATATTTATGGATTCGAATGAGTATTTTGGGAAGTATGAAATTATGACAAAATTATGATTTAGATTATGTATCGATTTAGTATCGGTCACACTTATAGAATTTACATTTTCATCAGAATTAGGTTATGTT